ATATATTTTATATCCGGCTTCATGGCAATGTCCAGGATTATATCAGTACCTGAGATATTTCTGATGTTGTGCTGAGAGTTTCAAATTCAAATGACAGTTCATCTTTCTGGTTGCTGACTGAACTCGTATCTGGCTGAGAAATGCTGTCAAATTGATACTGGCTGCAGACACCCTCTTCTGATTCCACATTATCCACATCTGTGCTCCATTTCTGAACCTTCTGATCATTCATTCCCAATTGCTGAAAAATTTCTATAAAACATTTATGTATGTTTTAAAAATTGGCAGTACAACAACAACAACTTGGATTTATATAGCACCCTCCACGCCGGACGGTGTCTCAGAGCGCTTCACAATAATGGATCCCGGGGCCGAGCCAGGGGGAGGGGAAGAAGGTGACCAAAGACACGTTCGAAAAGAAAGCAGTAAGCAGCAATTCACAAGTACTTGCTCAATAAAATTCATCTATTGCTGTATTTTACGTTGAAGTATATTACCACAATTATTTAATATTTGATTTTTGTACAATTGTGGATATTCTTGGAGTTTCTTGATTTTTATTCTCATTATCAAGGTAGTTCTAATACTCTCTATCCGCTTCCAACATTTGGATTTTAACTGAGACTTATGGGTTGCAAATCCTCCCCTTTGTTACTTAGAAGTCTCTCAAATGAAATTAGTCTGGGCAGTCAGAACCCTCTTTCTTGTGATAATAAAAATCCTTGCATTTGCTATTGAGCCTTCCATGTCAGGGGAACACCTCAAACTACTTCACCGGATTTACTGTAAAGTGTAGTGACTGTATTTTGTAGTTAAACATGGCCTATTTTCGCACTGCAATGTTCCACAAACAGCCATGAAGTGAATGACATTGCTGTCCTCTTTGGTGCAACAACAGTTGTTGGGGAGTTTCAAAGCTAAATAATTCATCAGCAATCCAGTGAAATAAACACAAGATAAACAAATTATTTAACAAGCAGCAACATACAATTATCAAATCCGGATCATCAGCAAATACTCTAATAATAATCACTTATGCAACCTCAGTTCCACACCCCAAAAACAATCTGTCCATTTCTTTCTCCAACTCAAAGTCAACAGAACTGAAGCTATCCTGCTTGGCTTCTATCAGTGCATCCTCACTTCACTTTATCAACCTCTCTCCAGTTGCTCACTCCAGACATCAAGTCATCCAGAACCTTAGTGTTTTATGCGACCCTCACCTTTAAATCATTAATCTGGACTCTAATCAATAATACTTTCCTCTATCTCCGCAAAATTGTCCAAGTCTTGTTCTACCCTCATCCAAGCCTTTGTCACCTCCAGACTCAACTTTTCTTTGGGAGGCTGGTCTCCCCAGCTGCACTTTCCACATGCTCCAGACCATCCAGAACTCCATAGTCTGCATCCTCTCCTGCACGAGGCTCCACAAGCTCACCTCCCCCAAATTTGCCCAGCTGCACTGGCCTCCTATTCTCCAGCGAATCAACTTTAAGATCCTCGACCCCACCTTCAAATGGCTCCATGGTCTTATCCAAATCTACAACCACAAATTATATTTATGTAGCGCCTTTCACATTGGAAGGATATCCCAAGGCGTTGGAACAGTTAACGGTTTGCACCCGAGCTGGATGTTGGAATCAAAAGGGTTAGCGACCACGGGGATTGAGGCACCCCCATTCCCCCTACCTGAATCTAACTCTGTGATCTCCTGTAACCCTATTCCCCTGCCATTCCACTTGCTTCTCCAACTCTGGCCTGCTTCATGGCCATTCTGCCCAGCAATTGGCAGGCAAACATTCAACCATTGTGACCCCTTCTCTAGAATCTAATTCCTTTACCCTATTGTGGAATGTCTCTTCCTTTTCAGACTAGTCGATCCATTTGCTGTCAGGTTTCAATCAGCATTTTGCTAAGAAAGAGAACACTGACACATTGTGCCATGCGATGGTAAAATGTGACTTTGGATACTCAACCCCTCTCATTGCTGAGATCTTATCTCAGCCGTGTCACTGGGTTTCACTGTGTTCAGATCGAGAAGGCAAAGAGATGGAAACCTTTTCCAAAACCACTTCTAAGAAGCTTCAAGCCGATGAGTTATAAAAGCCTATGTTGTCTACCCCATCTTTCTAGCAATAAGAATGGGTCCACAAAGTTCAATTTTTTTAATTTCAATTTATGGAGCAATCAGTGGAAGTTGTGAAGTAAAAAATAAGAAGATTCATCACCAAAACTCCTGAGAAATCTTACCTTCGGCGAAACCAATATTCATCTCAGGTTGGGTATTTTGTTCTCGAAAGGAGCTGTGAGTCATTATAGGCAAATTATTGTTGGAGGTATGATAGCTTTGAAAACTATTATAAAGATGAAGAGGAGATATTGAAAAGATCATTTAACTTATTGGACAACATGCGATACATTGAAACTAACACAGATTTATAAGCTATAAACTGTACATCAATTAAATTTTAAATGATATCTGTGTATACTTTTAAAATCAATCAAGACTAGTAGGAATACAATATTATATTTGAGAGAGAGTTCAAGTGAGAGTGTGTGGGCATTTTTGTATTGAGTTCAAGTGAGAAAGAGCAAAACAATTGGAACAAATTTCATGTACTGTCATTGTCCAATTTGCTTCTCTCGAATGATGTCTCGCCCAACCAGTCATAAACCATCATTGCAGAAGTACCTTCATTCCTGGAGGATGGTGTTTCAAAGGTAATAAAAGTGAAGGAAAAATAGACTAATATCATCTGGTAACATACAAGCAATGCGACGTTTTAGTGGTGGCACACAAAGTGATTAACTTAAAGATGATCTCTCCCCCGCACCGCAGCCTTCCCAGTTAACCACTCACCGTCGTTGACCTTTTATATTTTTAATTCGGGAGGGGTCCATGAAGGAAAAGTGGTGCCAATCCTTGCTATCCATCAATGTTTATTTACACTGCCGTCCCCTGTCCGCCAGCATCACGTCACACCTCCCACATGTGAGCTTACACAAACACCTCCGTGACCTCACTGCCCCAGTCTGTGACCTCACTGCCCCAGTCTGTGACCTCACTGCCCCGAGTCTGTGACCTCACTGCCCCAGTCTGTGACCTCACTGCCCCGAGTCTGTGACCTCACTGCCCCCAGTCTGTGACCTCACTGCCCCCAGTCTGTGACCTCACTGCCCCCAGTCTGTGACCTCACTGCCCCAGTCTGTGACCTCACTGCCCCCAGTCTGTGACCTCACTGCCCCCAATTGTTGTGCATTCATCTCTCTGTGACATCACAGTGGACGTGGAGTCCTGTAGCTGAGTGGTTAGAGCACTCGCTTTGCAAGTGAGAGACCTGAGTTCAATTCCAGGCAGAGGGCGAAACCTTGGGCAAGTTTCCTTACTCCACACTCCTAATAATAATCCCTCCAAAACCAAAAACAATAATAAATTGGTCATTTTCAATCCACGACTGTTTGTGGGACATTGCTGCGCGCAATTGGCTGCCGCGTTCGCCCACAAATATACAGTCAATTCACTTTACAGTGTGTTCTGTGAAGCGCTTTGGGACGTCCCCCGACGTGAAAAGCGCTATATCAAATGCAAGGATTATTATTATTATTATTATTATTATCATACGGATCGGAGTTTGCCTGGTACCATTGTGACATCATGTTAAAGAGAGACTTCTAATACCCAGGCAACATACAAGAGTCAGCAACAACAACAACAAGATTACATTTGTATAGCGCCTTTCACGTCGGGAGGCCGTCCCAAGGCGCTGGACAGTGTACAGCATTTAAGACCCGAGCTGGGGTCAGGGAAGGAGAAGGGAGGGGAGGGGAAGGGGGTTGGCCGATGGCATGGTCGAAGAGGAGGGTTTTGAGATGGTATCTGAAGGGGGGCTAAGGAGGGGGCGAGGTGGAGTGTATCAATAATAATAATAATAATCGAGAGTGTATTAATTTAAGATAGTTATTAATATAATAATCCTTGCATTTGATGTAGCGCCTTATCATGTCTTCAAGACGCCTGAAAGAGCTTCACAGAATTTGCTGTAAAGTATATTTTGGGGGCAAAATGCAGCAGCCAATTGCACGCAGCCGGGTCTCACAGAGTCGTGGATTTAGTGACCAAATTTTATTTATTTTGAAGGAATTATTACCCCCGTAAAAGTGATTGATTGACAGCTGGGTTCCTACTTGCTATTGTAAGGAAACTTGCCCAACATTTCGCCCTGCTGGGACTCAATCCCAATTCACTCGCTTGCGAGGCGAGTGCTCTAACCACTGAGCTGCAGGATTCCAAATGAGCAGATGAGGAGGTTAGGCGACATTTTTCATATACGGTGGTGATTGAGTGCTTAGGATATGGAATGTCGTGGCAGGAGAGGTGGTTGAAGAAAAATCCATATTGGCCTTAAAGAGGGAAGACAAATGCTTTAGAAAGAGTCAGGGACAGGAGTTTGGGGAATGAGCAGGTTAGTGGGACTGAAAGGATTGCCTTGAGAAAGCGGCACAGACACAATGGGCCAAATAGCCTTCTTCTGTGCAATAAATTTCTATGGCGTTGTGTTAATTTCTATTTACTGGTATACTATTGTGTGAATTTCCAGTCAATCAGAGGGGATTTGGGGGCAGAGGGCAGAGTTGCCTGAAATTAAAATACGTTTGTAGCCCAACATACACCAAACACTGGCCCAACAGTATGTGTTCCTCCTGTGGGTAGCAGAGTGGCCAATTTAGGTCAGTGCTTCTGAAACTCTATAAGAAAAGTCTTCAAAGTAAAAAAGAAGCATCACGATTTTGCAGATTTAAACTAAAAATGTCTTAAAAGGTTAGGCACCAGCCCAAAGCTGATTTTGTTTCACGCACAATACAACAGAACACCGCCCAATTGGGCGTGAACCCGCGCAACCTGGACACATTGGGGGAGGGTTGAGAGCGCAGTGACGTAGGGTGAGGCCCCGCCTGGCGGGGTGACGTAGGGTGAGGCCCCGCCTGGCGGGGTGACGTAGGGTGAGGCTCCGCCTGGCGGGGTGACGTAGGGTGAGGCCCCGCCTGGCGGGGTGACGTAGGGTGAGGGGACGGGGCAGAGCAGAGCGGCCATGATGTCGCGTGGTGTCCTCGCAGAGCAGCGCGAGCCCGAGCCCGAGCCCGGACAGTTTGAGGATGTGGAGAGCGACAAGTGAGTGAGAGAGTGATATACCATACAGTGTATATATATATATAGACAGGGGGAGAGTGATATACCATACAGTGTATATATATATATAGACAGGGGGAGAGTGATATACCATACAGTGTATATATATATATATAGACAGAGAGAGTGATATACCATACAGTGTATATATATATATATATATATAGACAGAGAGAGTGATATACCATACAGTATATATATATATATATATATAGACAGAGAGAGTGATATACCATACAGTGTATATATATATATATATATATAGACAGAGAGAGTGATATACCATACAGTGTGTATATATATATATATATATAGACAGAGAGAGTGATATACCATACAGTGTATATATATATATATATATATAGACAGAGAGAGTGATATACCATACAGTGTATATATATATATATATATAGACAGAGAGAGTGATATACCATACCGTGTATATATATAGACAGGGAGAGAGAGTGATATACAATACAGTGTATATATATATATAGACAGGGAGAGAGAGTGATATACCATACAGTGTGTGTGTATATATATATATATAGACAGGGAGAGAGAGAGTGATATACCATACAGTGTATATATATAGACAGGGAGAGAGAGTGATATACCATACAGTGTATATATATATATATATAGACAGGGAGAGAGAGTGATATACCATACAGTGTATATATATATATAGACAGGGAGAGAGAGTGATATACCATACAGCGTATATATATATATATAGACAGGGAGAGAGAGTGATATACCATACAGCGTACATATATATATATATATATAGACAGGGAGAGAGAGTGATATACCATACAGTGTATATATATATATAGACAGGGAGAGAGAGTGATATACCATACAGCGTATATATATATATAGACAGGGAGAGAGGGTGATATACCATACAGCGTACATATATATATATATATATAGACAGGGAGAGAGTGATATACCATACAGTGTACATATATATATATATATAGACAGGGAGAGAGGGTGATATACAATACAGTGTACATATATATATAGACAGGGAGAGAGAGTGATATACCATACAGTGTATATATATAGACAGGGAGAGAGAGTGATATACCATACAGTGTATATATATATATAGACAGGGAGAGAGAGTGATATGCCATACAGTGTATATATATATATATAGACAGGGAGAGAGAGGGTGATATACAATACAGTGTGTATATATATATATATAGACAGGGAGAGAGAGTGATATACCATACAGTGTATATATATATAGACAGGGAGAGAGAGTGATATACCATACAGCGTACATATATATATATAGACAGGGAGAGAGTGATATACCATACAGCGTACATATATATATAGACAGGGAGAGAGAGTGATATACCATACAGTGTATATATATAGACAGGGAGAGAGGGTGATATACAATACAGTGTACATATATATATAGACAGGGAGAGAGAGTGATATACCATACGGCGTACATATATATATATATATAGACAAGGATAGAGTGATATACCATACAGCGTACATATATATATATATATATATATATAGACAGGGAGAGTGATGTACAATACAGTGTACATATATATATAGACAGGGAGAGAGAGTGATATACAGTACAGTGTATATATATATAGACAGGGAGCGAGTGATATACAATACAGTGTACATATATATATATATATATATATACAGGGAGAGAGAGTGATATACAATGCAGTATATATATAGACAGAGAGAGAGTGATATACAATACAGTATATATATATAGACAGGGAGAGAGAGTGATATACAATACAGTGTATATATAGACAGGGAGAGAGTGATATACAATACAGTGTATATATACATATAGACGGAGAGAGTGATATACAATACAGTGTATATATAGACAGGGAGAGAGTGATATACAATACAGTGTATATATATATATAGACGGAGAGAGTGTAATATATAATACAGTGTATATATATATAAACAGGGAGAGAGAGTGATATACAATATAGTGTGTGTGTATATATATATATAGACGGAGAGAGAGTGTAATATATAATACAGTATATATATAAACAGGGCGAGAGAGAGTGATATACAGTACAGTGTATATATATATATATAGACAGGGAGAGAGAGAATACAGAGCTCCTTTGGTGACTGAATCGTCGTATCTCGTGTCACAGACGTGCCAGAGCTCAGGCAAAAGGCAAATGTTTGGAGAATCATTTTACTTATTCAGCTTCTCCCTTGTGACCAACATTTACACAATTCTGTCTGTGTATCTGTGTGTCTGTCTGTCTGTCTGTCTGTGTCAGTCTGTCTGTCTGTGTCTATGTGACTTTGTGTGTCTCTATGTGTGTCTCTGTCTATGTCTGTCTGGGTGTCTGTCTATGTGACTTTGTGTGTCTGTGCCCGTGTCTGTACCTGCCTGTCTGTCTGGGTGTCTCTCTGTCTGTCTGTGTGTCTCAATGTGTGTCTGTGTCTCTGTCTCTGCGTGTCTGTCTGTGTCAGTCTGTCTGTCTGTGTCTGTCTACTTGTTAATTCTGTAGTAAAAGAAAACTTACAAGCTTATAACCCTTAAGTTGAGGGTATCTAAAGCACTTCATAAATGTTTCCTGTTTTTATAGATAAATAGGACATCATGGACATAATAATAATTCATCCATTGTGTGTATATATAGTGTATATATACCTTATTTTTAATATATATATACAGTATATATAATGTACATTACATTATGTCTCAAAGTGCATCACAGGTCATTTCACCTCTGAGATGCCGAGAAGGCAGCAGGTTACCATGCTGCTTCTGTCTGCTCTGTATTAATCACCGGGAAGTACCTTTGAACTTCTGTTTTCCCCTTACTGTCTGAATAACATCAAACCCTATTCACTGAGAAAACAGTGAGCATCCATGTCATAGTTGTGGAGCATGTTGTTACTATTCAACATTAAATTTGGAAGTTTTAATTTTCCTGACCTTCCTTCACCCCTTAATGTTTGAGTTTTGCTCATTTGATCTACTTGTCTTGCATTAATGTCCAGTGATTAGAAGGCAATGAAATAATAAGCCCCGAATAGCAAAACAGGTGATTAATAAGCTTTGTATAGCCAGGAGCAACTTTAAGGAGCTGCCCCCTCCTCCCTCTCGCTGCAGACTCCAGTTGTTTTTTGCTATAATGTTATGTTAATACTTGGAATTGTTAGTGTTGGTTCTGTAATTTTTTTGAAAAATAAACTTTATTCAATAAAGTCACAATTTGTTTGATCACTGAAACATAATACAGTTCTGTCATTAGTTTAATTTTTTTTGTTTTTAATCACAGTAGCTGTCCTGAACAAACTGAGGCAGTGAGAACGACGGAGAAAGAAATAAAAAATCTGCAGCTGAATTATCCAGATGATGAGGAAGCAGATATTGAAAGTGATGAAGATGAAGCCTGGGACTGGGATCAGTGCAGTGGAGACCTTACCAAACGCTACGCTGCTGTCAGGAGAAACAACCAGCAGGTAATGCAAATCATTCTGGCTTCAGTTTGTATTGCATTAAATTATTATCTTGTTTACCGTAGAAAACTGAAGGAATACTGGGCAAAAAAATGCCTAGATGAAACTATACTGGTCACGCGTATACTGAAATCAGATGATTCTGTTCTCACTTGCCACATTAAACATTATAATCTTAGAGGTTAAACTAAAGGTACTGTCTTATACCCAACCTCAAGTAGTGAAGTAAAATTGCAGTGTAAGATGGACTGTTTCACAAACCTAAATAATTTATGCATTTTTTTTCCGAGTGCCCCTTTTGTGTAAATGCACAATTTCAGCTTTTATTTGACAGACATTTGATCTAGGTACAATATGGTATATACGTTCCTGTATTTTAGCTTCCTGGTATAGGAGGGATGGAGGGTTGCATGGAGTATAAACACCGACACTGACAATTGGGCCAAATAGCCTATTTCCACGTTGTTTCATTTTATTGGCAACCTAACATCACAACTGAAATCTATTCTGCTATTTTTGTCACTTTAGGCAAACAGACAGAATCCTTCCAATCCAACAAAGATGTCCACTCCAAATGACAAAGCTCTTGGAAAGTTTCAACATAAAATTAATCTTGGTAAGTTTATTATGAAACTCTCATGATTAAGCAGCATCATCAGAATATTAAAATAAATGGCATGTACACTTTAACAAAATGGAAACATTGCATGTAGGCTGCATATTACTAATTTAAATTATTGCTGCTTCAACATTCGCATTCTATCTAAATGGTTATTTTATAGATTTTATTTAAACCTTCACTATTCTGATATGTTCACTTAATGTTCCAAATCAATGACTTGAAGTTTTCAAATGCATGCTTTGTTGTTGAGATCCTCCAATAAAACTCAATCTAATTTGGATTTTCCAATGAAAACAAAATTTACAATGTTAAATTATTGTTTCAACAATAGCCAAACTTATACAGGAAGTAGGAATATTTGCAAAGTGTTTTTTGTGGAGGACAACATTGGCCTTGTCAGTGATGTCTCCCAGAGTTGAATATTCCACCAGTGTTCATTGTGTAGACATTACTTGTCAAGAATGGAGCTATCAGAACATGCGGTGGTACCCAACTCAAGAAATAGTGGACGAGAACAAAGTTGATCTGAAAGAGCACAAGGCCAATTACAGTTAATACTGTCAGACTCTAGGAGCAGGTTACTTTCCCAGCTATTCAGCTGGCGAATGGTACATGATTTATTTGGTGGGGGACCAGGGGAAGAACGGGGGGTTATAGAACTATGGTACCACTGTCAAAAATTACAGATCCTAATTATAATGAATACAGTTGTCAAATATAAAGATTACTTTGTGATTATTTAACTTTCTTTTTGATTTATGTTCTCAGATAAGCTACATTTTGCTGATTCTGTGATAAGCAGAGTAACTGAAAAGTCAAGACAGAAGCATGCAGAAATGTAAGTAAAACCTGCAACAAAGCAAATTTAAAATTGGTTGATAAAAATGTGTCAAATCTAAATCAAAATGTGCTTGTGCCTTATAGTTTTATTATACTTGGGAGGTTGGTTATGATTGCAGGATACAATATATTTGGACTGGTTTAAAGCCCTTCATAAAATTGTATGTTTCTGCATTATTTTTAGGTATCGAGTTAAGGATAAGTCTGACCGAGCTACTGTGGAGCAGGTAATCAGAGCTGCTTACTAAGTGCAGCGAAACTGTACCTTGCCTGAAGGGTGCTATATAAATGCAAGTTGTTGTTGTTGATGATGATGTTGATGGATTTGCCTACAGAAACATGATGGCACATTTTGCTTATTAAATTGTAATGCTGCTTTTAATCAGGAAGAGATTGATAAAGGAAAATGTTAACTTGTCTTGATCAGTCCACCCTTGGCGTGCCCTCTGCAATATATAAAGATGTAAGCAATGCTGTACTACAAAGCTGAAGTTTTACTATTAATTCTTAGGTATTAGATCCAAGAACTCGAATGATTCTGTTTAAAATGCTAAGCAGAGGCGTGGTCTCGGAAATCAATGGATGTATCAGCACAGGAAAAGAGGTCGGTGAGAATTTTGGTCTAATTTGTGTAAGAGTGGCGAGTACCACTACGTTTAATAATCCTTGCATTTGATATAGCGCTTTTTACGTCTTCTAGACGTCTCAAAGCGCTTCACAAAATAGACTGTAAAGTGAATTGACTATATATTTGTGGGTGAAATGCGGCAGCCAATTGCGCACAACAGTGTCCCACAAACAGTCGTGGATTGAAGCGACCAATTTATTATTCTTTTTTTCTTGAGGGATTATTATTAGGCATGTGGAGTATTTGCCCAAGGTTTCACCCTGCCAGGAATCGAACCCAGGTCTCTGTAAATATGCACCACAGATGTATGCCATATATCTAGATTGCTAACTTGGATTAGATTAGGTAAAATTCTAGTCACTTGCAATAATGACAAATAGTGCTCTTCCTCCTATATTTTAAATTTTGATTGTTTTATGAAAATAATCAAAAAAGGTCTTGCCATTTAACAAGGGAAAATGCATATAGTAGGATACTATTGAATTTGACATAATGCTGAAAATATGTTTCTTTTCCTTTACCTTCCTTGTAAATGTTACCAAAATATTCCCAATGAATGTTTACTTAAAAGAATAGGGTTCTTCATTATAACCTTTTAAGCCCATTTAACCCTTGTTCTTCTGTTTCTTCAAGCCTTGTAAAATGTTGTTTATTTTTCTAATAGGCAAATGTATATCATGCAACGACAAGTCGTGGAGAGAGCAGAGCAATAAAGATTTATAAAACCTCTATCTTAATGTTCAAAGATCGTGATAAATATGTCAGTGGTGAATTTAGGTGAGAGTTTTGCAAGTGTTTTGTTTTAAATTTGTATATTTTCTTAACGTGATTGAAACAGGAAACAGAGTATTCAGTCATGTATAAGTGTACATATATTAAAAGCATTAATACTACTAATAATATGAATAATAATAAGGTCTCTGGCATTTTATTTGTGAAAATAAATTAGACTGTCACTGGATAGTTTTAAGTGATGAATGATGTGGAAATCTTTTAAAATGTAAATCATGTTTTAGTTACAACAATGGGATTTGTTAGATCCTTTTTTTAAAAAAAATTGCTGATTTTGTTGAAGAAAACTAATAATAACTGTTTTGCAGATTTCGTCGTGGATATTGTAAAGGCAATCCAAGAAAAATGGTCAGAACGTGGGCAGAGAAAGAGATGCGAAATTTGATCAGGTACCAAAAAAAAGTTTGGAGGGGTGGGGGTCTGATTGACTATATTTCTTGATGGAATTCCTCAACAAGAATTAACAGTCACTTTATAGTATATTATAGTATGTATAAAGTATATATAATAATACTATATATATTACTATATATGTTACTATGATATATATTAGAGTATATATACCATATAAATATAGTATATGTAAAGAATATATAGTATAGTATATATAAAGAATCACTTTATAGTATATTCTGTGAAGCACTTTGAGATATCCCAATGATGTGATAAGGCACTGTATCAAATGGAAGGATTATTATTATTATTTCTCATACCTTTGTTATAGTGAGGATTTAATGTTTTTTTTAATGTTTTTTTTAAATGCAGGTTACAAACAGCAGAAATCCCATGTCCAGAACCAATCATGCTTAGGAGTCATGTTCTTGTTATGGGTTTTATTGGTAAAGATGATATGTGAGTATTTTTTATCTAAAACTATTAAATTGTTCAATTCAAAGTTTCGGATGAGACAGAAAAAAGAATCCTTAAGAGGGTTAGAAGAAGCATTTGTTAGAAGCATTTCCCTCGCACAGTATTTTAGAGGAGTTGAAGAATATAAGAGATAAATATACTTCAGTACATCATTCTGATTTGGTAGCATAATTATGGACTCAAGTTGTGCGTATCCCACTGAGTTCAATGTGTCCCTTTATATAGACATCTAGTAAGGAATGTGAAACCCTAAGTTAAGGTGTTCATTAATGTACAATTTTTTTTGTTTTTTAGTATGCATGAAGAGGGTTACTCTAAAGTACTCTCCTAGAATTTCCCTTTCCTCTAAATATCATGATTTTCTCTTTTAGAAAACTATAAATCTATTTAATCTCTTTTTGATGTTCACTGATTTATGTATAATCTATGTACTTTCTTAATCTTTTAAATTTAATTCTAATTGAAGATAATTTAAGAATTTTTGAATTGGCAATAAGCTCAAATCAGTGATTTGTGCATCAAATGACCTATGTGTGTTGTGTGTGACAGTCTTTTAGAAACAGGTAAAACACTGTTTATAAAATAAATCTATTTATTATCAATAGCGGGCATTGGTTGATGTCCTCTATTGATAGTAAATAGCTAACTATGTTTCTCTTTAAAATATGTGTATGTATTTGTTCTAAACGTTCGGTGGCAAGACCAGAAATGAACTATGTGAACTGTGCTATTTACTTATCTACTTACTTGCTATTTGTACATCAAGATTTTCACCTTAAATATTTCATGTTGTAGCTTGCTTACATGCTTTCAGTAATCCTGCTCCAAACTTTCTTGCATAAGTTTCAGTAATTGTTCATGCCAATGTACCTTTTTACATCTTATCACTGTAATCATCCTGTACACAGAAACAGTATTCCGTATTTAATCGTTTTACTTTGCAGGCCAGCACCATTGTTGAAAAATGCCCATCTTACTGAATCTAAGGTCCGTGAGCTCTATTTGCTCGTCATTCAGTACATGCGGAGAATGTATAAGGATGCCAGACTGGTTCATGCTGATCTCAGTGAATTTAACATTCTGTAAGTTACTGTTCGATATTTGCTTGGAATGCCTTGTTCTTTGGTTTATTATTTAATGATTAGATATGTATTTGAAAGTTTGTAGGTACAAATGTCAACTTAGATTGAGGAAGTGATAATCAGCACACAATATTTTTTACTGAAGGCATTATTCCAATAGCTTTTGTAATCTTTTTGTAAACAATTTATGGTTATAAATCCTCATGGAAATAATACTTATATAATCTGATATTGTTATTTAAGCATTTGTTACTCATGATTCAGTCAAAAGTGATGCAATTTGTGGGTTCAAATGTGCTTTTTGACAGTTGCACCACAAATGTCGTTAAAAATACAGTGGACTATTTGCAAAAATATTTTGAATTTTGGAAGTAATGTCGAGTGTTTATAATTTATATCAAAGGGAAAAATTATTGTAATACTTTCACTGAATGACTTTTTTTTACAAGTATGTGACTCATTTGATAAATAAGATAGTCGACTTTCACTTTGATAATGAGAGGAAATATAACTGTTTAACTATCCTTGTCTGACTATGATTAAAAGTAATTGGAGATTAAAAGTTTGTGAAAGCAGGTAATTGGCACATTTTTAATTCTTAATCCCAAAGGTACCACAATGGGGGAATATACATCATTGATGTATCACAGTCAGTGGAGCACGATCACCCACATGCCTTGGAGTTTCTTCGAAAGGATTGTCTGAACATTAATGGTGAGGGGAAAACTATCAGTTGTTTCTGGTTTGATTTAGATTTTATCTGTTTAACCAATGATTCTGGGAGAAGTGGACTGGATGGTTCAAAGAGGAAGGTTTTCAGGTGGGGCTTGCATGGTTAGAGAGTGACCAAATAGGAGGAAGGGATTCCAGAGTTCGGCCACTGATGGTGGTGCAGTAAGGGTGGGCACACGCAGTGAGCTCTAGTCAATCAAAGTGGAAGGGCCAAGCAGAGAATTAGGATAGGAGAAGATCACAGAGATAAAGGATGTGCCTGAGTGGAGTCATTTGTCTGAAGACAAGGACCTTGAAAGCGATCAGGTGGGGGATAGAGTTTGGTGCAGGTGAGAATGTGGGCGTTGGAGTTTTGGGTGAGTTGGAGCTATGAATTGTGGAGCAAGGGAGATCAACAAGAAGTGCATTCCCATAAATCTAGGTGGAAATGATGTTCATTATTTTATCTCTCGATACGTTCACAGAATTTTTCCGTAAACATGATGTTGCTGTGATGACAGTACGAGAGCTCTTTGAGTTTATTATAGATCCTTCAATTACGGAAGATAATCTAGATGCTTATCTTGAGAAGGTAGGACTTTGTACACCTAGTTTGTTATTGCTAAATATTTTTCTACGCCTTAAACCCCCTAGTTAATGACTATTATTATGGTTGTGTTTCTAGGCAATGGAAATAGGTGCAGAGAGAACAGAGGAAGAGCGATCCAATCAGGACAAAGTAGATGAAGAGGTGAATCTTTTGTTTGACTTTCTTCCCTATCTTAAACTATTTATTGTGCTGTTGATGGGTTTGCATTAGGCAGTGACCCAATACAACATGTACAGAATAAAATGGACAGATGACCACCTGAATGAGGTGGTTTCACACTATTATGGGTGCATATTGGCAATATTATGATAATATAATAATAATAATAATCCTTGCATTTTGATATAGCACTTTTCACGTCGGGAGGACGTCCCAAAGCGCTTCACAGAACACACTGTAAAGTGAATTGACTGTATATTTGTGGGCGAACGCGGCAGCCAATTGCGCACAGCAATGTCCCACAAACAGTAGATTGAAAATGACCAATTTTTATTATTGTTTTGTTTTGGAGGGATTATTATTAGGCTCTGTGTGGAGTAAGGAAACTTGCCCAAGGTTTCGCCCTCTGCCTGGAATTGAACTCAGGTCTCTCGCTTGCAAAGCGAGTGCTCTAACCACTGAGCTACAGGACTGCACGTTCTGATGGCCGGTCTGAACCCTTACCATTGAAGTTAAACTGTATTTTTACAGTGTTAAATGTCACCTGGAATCATAGAATATTACAGCACAGAAGAGACCATTCTGCCTACCTTGCCTGTGCCGGCTCTTTAGAAAAGCTACCCAATCAGTCCCACTCCCCTGGCTCTTTCTCCATATCCTTGCAAATGTTACCTTTTCAATTATCTATTGAATTCACTTTTGAAAGTTATTATTGAATCTGTTTCCACTAGCCTTTCAGGCAATGCATTCCGGACCATAACAACTTCCTGTGTAATAATAAAAAAAATTCTCATCTCCCCTCTAGTTCTTTTGCCAATTATCTTGAATCTATGTGCCCTGGTTACTGACCCACCTGCCAGTGGAAACATTCTTTCCCTATCTTATCAAAATCCCTCATAATTTTGAACACCTCTATTAAATCTCCCCTTAACCTTCTCTGCTCTAAGGAGAACAATCCCAGCTTCTCTAGTCTCTCCACATAACGAAAGTCCCTCATCCCTGGTACCATTCTGGTAAATCTTCTCTGCATCCCTCCAAGGCCTTGCTATCCTTCCTAAAGTGTGGTGCCCAGAAATGACACAATACTCCAGCAGAGGCCTAACCAGTGACTTATAAAGGGTAGCAGAACTTCATTGCTTTTGTACTCTATGCCTCTATTCAGAAACCCCTTTTCTAATTCATTTAAAAAGTCCATTAGTAATTGGAGTGCTGGAAAGCAGCAATCTGCATGTGTTTGGATCCAGGTTGGCCTGTATAACACAGAACTTTACTTCTGTTCCCGTTGGAAAAGAGAATTATAACTACTTGTAAGTTAATTCTATGCTCTCCTCCCCCTCTTCCCAACAAACGGATTCTGCTTGCCTTGGCTGGAAAATACAAATGAATAAGAACATTGTCTCATTAAACTACCCTTATCATTTTCCATTGTATCCAGTGAAGAGGATTGACCCTAAATATTTTTTTCTACAATAGGTTTTCAAAAAAGCCTATATTCCCAGGACACTGAATGAAGTAACAGACTATGAACGAGATGTGGAAACAATGATGCAGCTCAAGGAAGAGGATATGATCATGAATGTACAGCATGACAATGTAAATAATGATATAAGTGATCGGATTTAGTACACATCTTTTTGTGTGAAAATATTGTATCTATGGTTAACGGTTGTTAAAGAAAAATGTCTGGGTAAAACAGTCACAAGTTTTTGTCTCTTGTTGTTGAAAGGTGATTTGTTTAATTGATCTTGCTCCTAACACAGAAGAACATCCATTATGCAATCTTCTATTTCCCAAACCAAATACCAATGCATACTCTCCAAAAATGGTTCCTTCAATATTAAGTGCAATTTTGTGGCTAATAGAAACTGATTTAAAACTGCTGAAACTCAATTTATATAGGATCGTACTATCTATATAGGATATTTTGCGGCGTAATGAGGTGGGCACCTCTCATCAGTCTTGTCACTGTTCTATCCTGTATATCCTCTCCTTTCCCCACTGTAGCATCATTTTATTTGTACAAGATGCACAGAAATTTCCTAAACTAAGAACTTAGTATGGGTGTCTTTAACTAATGTCTAGTACATCCACAATTTGAGAAGTATAGTTGTGGTTTACTCAGTCACCATCTTCAGGAGTGGAGAAACAGGTGAGAAGAAAACTTAAATAATAACACTTTAATTGCATTTTCTGTGTGTGGTTTGTTTAGATTCTTTATCAGACTGTGACTGGAATGAAGAAAGACTTGTCTGGTGTCCAGAAGGTGAGATTTCTTTTCACTTCAGGTGTCAAGAGTGTGTTTCCAGTAAAACTTTTTGCTTTAGCTGAATAACTTAATTTGGCCAAAGAAAATACTAATTTAAGGGAGCAAATGAAAAATTGTTGCACAATTTGGTTCCCAAACTAACAAATCTCTCAGTAATTCAGTACCTACATTTTAGTCCATTTTTGATGGTTTGTCTTATCTCATTAGCCATAATGTGTTTAATCCATTGTTATTTATCCATATAAGGTTCCTGCTCTACTTGAGAATGCTGAACATGAAGAAACATCTACATCTGCAGAGGATGAGAGCTCTGAAGTGGAATCTGGTTCTGAAGAGGATGGGGAAAGGATTCACCCTAAAGATCACGAGCAGGAAAATGACCCTGAGAAAAAGGTCAGTTTGCCCCGTCTGTCAAGATTCCTTTTGAAACCAACGATGGTGGGAGGAAACTTTATCTTAATATTAGCAACAAAGAAAATGGTCTTAATTTGAAAGATTTTACTCATCACTTATTGTACCTAAGTATGAGTACCGTAAGCTCCTGGGTATCCGGAATTCAAACCGAGCCAAAAATAAACAAATCTTGCAGACCAAATATTTCTGTCATGTGTAAACTCTCATCAGCCAACTCTCCTGGAGCGTGCCAATGCCACGCTGAGCAGCCTCACCATGCTTGCTGGCCTTCGTAGTGGCCAGCAATATTGACTTAGTCAGATTGTTTGAATCCCGCGAACAGAAAATAGCTCATTTGCTGTCTGCAGCTCAGAGGAGTCAAACAATACACGTAGCCAGAAATTCCAGTAAGAAGATCTCAGCTGAAGGAACATTGGATGATTGGCATCTACAGTAAGCTTCTCTAAACGGTAGAATCCATATTAGCTTTCATGAAGGAATTCAATAAATATCCTCCTTGGGTGGGGAGGTAAGCAGGGCTGAACAAGCTCCCAAATGATATGCTTGGCAATGGGTTGTCAGAATCTAATCAGTCCTCAGTGGGAGTCTCAGTACTCCCAGCTCGTGATCCTGTGGGTGTCCAGTTCTCCACGGCATAACTGTTGACATTATAGCCAGCCTGGCTCATTGGCAGGACTTGGAGGGACAAACCTGTCACTGGGGTCAGCTGGTCGGCAGTAAGGTGTGCACCCCTGTCTAGTGCTCTGAGACGCTACACTGTGTGGAAGGTGCTATATAAGTGCAAGTTGTTGTTGTAGTCCAGCTTTAGACTTGAATCAATTGACTCTTTCTGTTGCGGGAAACCTCACAGTTGAGATCCATCCCAAAAGGAACAAGTAGCCCCTTCTCTTTAATCACTCAAATATTGATCTTTACTTCATTCATTTCAGTAATTGAATAAATGTCCATTTTAGGATCATCTCTATATGTATTTTAAATTGCCAAGTGAATAATGAAAATTCTTAATAATTCCCTAATTTTTCTATGGTAATTCCAGGTCGTGTTCCCTTGATATTTATTGCTTCTATATACAGGACATCCCCCTTAGAATGTAACCAGGTGCTTGTAGACCTATGCTACAGGAAAAGCAGTACACCTGGCTTCTGGCTATGACTAGCCAGCTTCCTGGGCTGAACTACGAACATCAATTGTATTGGTTGTATCAATTGCAGAGCACAGCTAACAATTTGCTAACAATTCAAAAAAGTATTTCATGGCAAACTTGTTATAATGCGGTCGCCTGGATTCAAGTATCTCAGAGACTGAATTATATCTTAGCACAGGAAACACCGATGTCCGATATTGAACCCAGATGAGAGTAAAATGGGGTTGTTCTGTTACATCTGTTCATGTAATTAGCAAATTGCTTTTAATATGCTGCTGGCTATATAAGTGCAATAAATAGTCAATGCAATTGATGTTCAAAGTGTGTGAATAGACTGATGTAAGAAGTGACATTATTAATGGATCTGTTTACTGACTATATATGTCTGAACAGTATTTGTATTTTTATTTCTAGGAAAGAAAAAAGTTAGTTAAAGAAGCTCAGCGAGAGAAACGAAAAAACAAGGTGCCTAAACACGTTAAGAAAAGAAAAGAGAAAATTTCAAAAATGAAGAAAGGAAAAGCATAGACATTGAAACTGCATTTATTATCACTTTGTCATTACAGAAATTGTAGGATTGGCCAAATATCTTAAATCATGACTAAATAAAAATTCCAGCAACTATTATGTGTAAATGCAAAGAATATGGTAAGGTTGCTGTGAAGGTTAATTTAAATGAAAGCTATAATGAATCAGAATCCCTTATTCATTAACTAATGTTATTTTGTATTGGAAACATAAAATCACATTAAGTTTGTGACTACTAAAACTATATCCTTTTTGTAAAGTGAACAGCATTCTAGCTGTATACAATTGTTTCTGTTTTCAGAAATGCTAAGTGTAAAAGCTTGATGCAGTGTGTCCAGTTAAAACTAGACAAACATTGCTAGTATTCAGAGATGAAAAAGCTATAATGAGCAAATAAATTTGTTTTATGCAGCAAATGAAATGTTTTTTTTGGTAATGTTTTCTTTGTTTAAAAAGAGGATGTATTGTATGATAGATACATTGAATTTGAAAGGCATCATTTCCTTGGGAAAACATCTTGATTAGTTAAAGCCATTGATTAGTATGAACTTGAGGCCAGGAAGGGCTATGCTTGGATCCCTACTGTAAATTAACTGATCTCAACAGACATGGAAGTAGAATGATGCAATTGACCTCAGAGGTTTTTTTTTCTGTTTAATGTTTCTGCAATTTACCCCTCTCTTGAAAACATTTGCTTCTTTCTTCCACCTGGAACATTCTTCTACCTGTGGAAACAGGTATCTTCCGGTACCTCACTCAAGGGCTGGTTCTTTATATGCAAGCCTTGCCATTCTTTATCTACACTCCTTCATCATGGCAGCCATTGTAGAAGGAGGTCACTGGGAACCATATACAACTCTTTAATAATAATAACAATAATAATAATCTTTGCATTTGATATAGCGCTTTTCATATCTTCTAGACATCTCAAAGCGCTTCACAGAATATACTGTAAAGTGAATTGACTGTGTATTTGTGGGCGATACGTTGCAGCCAATTTAACCTAAGACATCAGGGACAATTTTAATTTACAATCCAAGTGCTGAATATTTCCTCCACCATTTCCTTAATGACTATATATTGCCTTGAAGTTTCACATTACAAAAATACTCAGAAAAAAGTTGGTTTAAAATCCACAGGTATCTTTCCACGTGCCTGTTTACTCATTTTGTGTTTGGGGAATTTCTGTTTTCATTTTACGATTTTTACTTAATCTGGTGTTTATGTCTCAGTGTTTTAAGTGTTTTTTCTACCCTAGTGTGATGGTAGGCTATTCAGTGTTTGGGACAACTCATTCCCAGTGATTTTCATTTAATTTTCACAGTTATAAATTTTAAAGACTCTCATTATTATCCCCTTCCCCAAGTCTTCACAATCAATTGAGTTGCCCCTCAAGTTGAANTTTTTAAAGTCACCTCACAAGCGAGAGGACCCAGGTTCGATTCCTGGGCAGGATGAAACCTTAAGCAAGTTTCCTTACTCCACACGCCTCTGGTTACCTAGCAGTACGTAGCCAGTTGTTAGTCAATTGGCAGATCGCTTTCTGGGGGTTTATAATCCCTTCAAAAATAAATAAATAAAATAATTTGGTCACTCAATCCACAACTGTTTGTGGGACACTACTGTGCGTAATTGGCTGCTGTATTTCGCCCACAAAATATAGAATATGGCATTGCTAGTTTAGGCAATTCACATTACAGTAATAAGCATCTCAATAATGTGATTAGGCGCTATATCAAATGCAAGGATTATTATTCTATAATCTTGATTTTTTTCAAGTTTAATTGCATAGCAAATAGTGGAAAAAATAGTCACCTTCACAGGAATGTGAGGATGTGAGTGCAGATTGCAGCAATATTCAAGGCCACTATGTGGCACTGTTAGTTTAGGCACTCGTTTCTGCCTTTCTGAAGATTTATTTTGGAATGATTTACTTTTAAGAGACAAGAGTGTTGTTTTAAATTACCTACATCTTCCCCCATTCTCAGTTCCCCCATACATCGGGGCTTGACTATCCAAACTCATTGCTTGTCGGGCTCCCCAACTCCTCCCTCCATAGGCTGCAGATCATCCAGAACTCTACAGCCGGTGTCCTCTTCCGCACCCTTTCACCCCCATCCTCGCCCGACTCCACTGGTTTCCCATCACTCAGAGGATACAGTTCAAGATCCTGGTCCCCATCTTTAAAGCCCTCCATGGTCTTGCTCCCCCACCTCTGCGACCTCCATCCTACTCGCTCCCTCCACTCAGAGGGCTCTGGCCTGCTTCATGTCCCCTGCCTCACTCGCCCCACTATTGGCGGGCGGACCTTCTGCCACTCTGCCCCCACCCTTTGAAACTCCATCCCGCAGTCCCTCTGCCTTGCCCCCTCTCTTGCCTGTTTCAAGACCCATCTCAAGACTCTCCTCTTCGACCGTGCTCTCGATCTCCCTGCTGCTCCCCCCCGCCCTCCACCCTCGCGATCACGACCCGCAGCTCGGGTCCGAAACTCTCTGTCAGCGCTTTGGGATGTCCTCCCAACGTGAAAGGTGCTATACAAATGTAATTTTGTTGTTGTTCTTGTGTTTTCCCCTTATAAGCCACGTTTCAACCAAACCTTGTTGATTGGCCATCCGGCATGAAGGGCGCTGTATAAATCCAAGTTGTCGTCATTGTCATACAAGGAGTGCCTTATCTTGCTCCTTATATTCTTGCTTGTTTGCTTAAGTGTAGTAACCATGGTACCAGGCACACCTGGAGCTCATCATATATCTCAATGAGCCATTCCAGGAATTTAAGCCCTTTCCACCCCGTCCCGAACATTTACCCACCCATGGTGGGGAGGAGTTGCTCTGTTTTATGTCAGAGTACAGGCTGCTGGTTGCACTCTGGGACCTCACCCAAGTGCTGATTCTTCATTTATGATCCTAGATAGGCTGATTTGTTTTTTTTTAAAACTTTCACACGCTAGCCCCAGGTGCCCAAGACAATTTGTTACACCTTCCTCCTCCCCAGGTCCCAGGATGTGGGTATGGAGTTTTGTCTGGGTAAGTATGCCGGTGGCATACTTATAGGTAAGGTAACAGTCAGAGGCGGGCAATGTGGTTGAGGTGGAAGAAGGCGGTCCTGGTCAGGGACCAGATGTGGGGGAGGAAGGACAACTAGGGGTCAAACTGGATGCCTAGATTGTATACTGGTTCAGTGAGTCTGAGGGAGAGCTCAGGGAGGTTGAGGAGTTCAGATCCACAGGTGTGAAGACATTGACGGAGCCAAGGAGTATGGCTTCCGTTTTGTCCACATTCAGCTGCAGGAAGTTTGCACTCATCCAGGCCCTGATGTCTGCCTGACAAGCTGATAGAACATTGGTGGACCCGGAGTTGGTACTGGAGGAGGCAAAGTAGATTTGTGTGTCATCCGCATACATGTGGAAGTTTACCCCGTGTCTGCTGATGATATTACCCAAAGGGAACATAGATAAGAACATAGATAAGGAAAAGAAGAGGGCCAAGGATAGAGCCTTGGTGTACCCTGCGGGTGACCAGGGGGAGGGCAGGAGTAGAAACCATTTGCCGAGATGAAATGGAGGCGGTTGGTTAAGTAGGACTTGAACTATGCGAGTGCGGTCCCACTAAGGTGGATAAGGGAGGAGAGGCGGTGGAGGAGGATGGCGTGGTCAACTGTCGAATGCAGTAAAGAGATCCAGGAGTACGAGGAGGCTGAGGGAGCCCTGGTCACAGATAGAGAGAATGTCGTTTGTGACTTTAACAAGCGCTGTCTCTATACTGTGGCAGGGTGAAAACCAGACTGCAAGCGTTCGAGGAGTGGAGGGAGAGGTGTGACCGAAGTTGACCTGCAACAACGCGTTCCAGGACTTTGACAAGGAAGGGTAGGTTAGAGATGCAATGGTAGTGTGCAAGATTAGAGGGATAGCTTTTTTGAAGAGGGGTGTGATGACAGCGGCTTTCAGTGGGAGTGGAAGAGAGCCTGAGGAGAGTAACTGGTTGACCGTGTCGGCCAGAAGGGGGGAGAGGAGGGGGAGTTGAGTGACCAGCAGCTGGGTCGGGTGGGGGTCGAGGCAGCAGGTGGTGAACTTCATCCGGGTGATTGTGGTTGAGAGGGAGGCAAAATGTGGCAAAGGAGTGTAAGGAGGGGGGAAGTGGCAGGAGCCGTGGTGGAGGGAGAAGGCAGTGTGGATGGTCTGGGTTGCATGGAAGGGAATGTTGTGGAGGAGGACGATGCAGCCAAGCGTATGTTTTCAATCTCTGAGGAGAAGAAGTCTTGGACCTCTTCGCAGTTGGCATTTGATGTGAGGATGGAGGGGGCTTGAGGGACTGAGGAAGTGATGGATAGTGGAATACCGAGTCTTTGGATTGTTGTTTGCCTCCAGGGTGACTTTGGAGTAAAAGTCAGTTTTGGCTTGTGAAAGGGAGAGGCAGTCGGTGCGGAGGTGCTCGAGCCACAGCTGATGGTGAATCGTGAGGCCAAATTTCTGCCATCTGCACTCGAGAATCCGGGTTTGTGTTTTGAATGAGCGGAGATGACTGTTGTACCAGGATGGATTTGGATACAACCCTGGATTTCAGGGGAGCTGGGGAATTGAAGGTTGTGGAGAGACGGTCATTCAGCTGCTTGATGGCTGCATCAGGATCGCTGTGGGTGGAGGGTCAGAGAGAGAGGAGGTCCGAGGAAGAGAGGGCATCTGTGAGGGACTCACGGGGGAAAAAAAATGGTGGAGGGCTTGGAAGCGGGGGATGCGGGAGCAGAGGGAGATGAGGAAGTGGTCCGAGATGGCCTTATCCGTGGAATGTCAAAGCCATGTGTGATGATGAGGTTGAGGGAGTGGCCACGGTTGTGGGTCGGTGAGTTGATGTGGAGGGTGAGGTTTAGGGAGGAGAGGAGGGCAGTGAAATCCATGGAGGTGGTGCAAGGGGAGTTAAGGTGGAGTTTGAAATCACCCATTATGAGCAGATGTTCAGTGCAAAGGGACAGGGATGAGTGGAGAGAGGAGATATTGGTGAGGAGGTTTGGGCAGGCAGTAAACTGGGAAGATTTTGTGGGAGAGAGAGGGGGGATGGTAGAGGGTGAATTGCTCAAAGGAGGAGAAACAGCCAGAGGAATAGGGGAATAAATCAAGGAAAGCTTGGAAAATGAGGGCCACCTGCCGCCGTGTTGGTTGGGGCAGGGAGTGTGGTGAACAGTGTAGCCAGGAGAGGCGGCTTCAACGAGGGGGGAAAGTCAGGTTTCTGTAAGCCCAAGAATATCAATGTGCTCATCCAGGATGAGGTCATAGATAGTAATATTCTATTAGCACAATCTATTTGTCCTATATGTGCCTCACTCGCTCCAGACTCTACCACCCCCTTACACTGCTCTCCTTAGCCTCTGCAACTTGGTTGCAAACCCTTCCCTGTCCATTCCCTTGTGACGTC